GGATGAAGTGTTATATAATCATGTGGAAAGGTATGAGCTAGAACTAAGTGTCAATCTGGATGACTGTCCCCAACAGTGTTAATCAAAATAGCCAGTTGCAAACGTACACATACGATATGATGCTGTTTACATAAAATTTAAAAACAAGGAAAACAATGCTGTTTATAGCTTAGGGATACATATGTAAATATTAAAATATGTGGAAATACAGGGAATGATAAATGCCAAGTTCTGGAAAGTAGTTACCGCAGGAAAGCTAAGAGATTGGGGAGAGCACAAGGGGGTATGTTGATGTTGCCAATATTTTATTTCTTAAGGTGCTTAGTAGGCATTTGAGTACATGTTGATTATACTTTATTATGTTTTAAATATATCCTATAAGAAATTAAAAAAATTAAAAATTAGCCCAGCTGGCATGGTGCAGTGGTTGAGCATCAGTCCATGAACCTGGAGGTCATGGCTTTTATTCCTGGTCAGGGCACATGCCCAGGTTTCGGGCTTGGTTCCCAGTAGGGGGCGTGCAGGGGGGCAGCTGATCAATGATTCTCTCTCATCATTGTTGTTTCTCTCTCTCCCTCTCCCTTCCTCTCTCTGAAATCGATAAAAGCATATTTGAAAATATTATAAAAAAATTAAAAATTAAAGCTGTGAGAGAGTAGTCCAAGATGAGGCTGGAGAGCTAGGCAGGGGTCAGATGGTAGGTTGCCTCATAGGCCATTTAAAAGTTTGGCTTTCATCTAAGGGCAAAGGGGAGCTACTGAAAGGTACGAGACATGGGAGTGGGCCCATTAGGGTCACAGCCAGCACACCCACTCTTGCTGCAGTGTAGATACTGGGTTTGCGGAGACGGAGAGCAGCAGTGGGGTTTGCTGCAGCCCCAACTCTGGAGCACGTCTTCCTTGAAACACCATTTTCTCTTGCTTCCAGAAGGTTCTTCCTTCCCTGTTCTCTCTCTGCCTCTCTGGCCAGACCCCTTTGTCTCCATCTGCAGGTCTTCTTCCTCCCCCAGCCCCTTGAATGTTGCTGTTTCCCAGACTGTTTCTTTTGTGACCCTGGTCTCTTTACAGTTTTTAGGTATATGTTACAGTGATCTCATTTCTAGTGATCCCAGCTTGAACGACCACCTTTCATGCTCGTGATTCCCAAATTGATTTCTTCAACGGAGTTCTTTTTCTCAGCGCCAGGCTGCCTGCTGGACCTGTCTTCTGGGCTGTCGGGGGTTATCTCCCTTCTCAATGTGCCTTCCCCCTGTTGTTGGGATCTCGATGAACCACATTGCTCTCTAGCCAGTTGTCTGGTCCAGAAAACTGGGTATTATTTTAGACCCCTCCATCTCTGTCACCTTTCCTGTTTATTTTGTTTTCATGTTAGGAATTAAGGGTGAGGCTTAGGTGCTGCGTGCCACAATGTATGTGCTATGACATATCTAAAATGCTCAATTCCCACCTTGCGAGTCTCTTTACTCCCCCTGTTTGGAAGATTTCTGTGATTTCACCACCCCTCTCCATCTGGCTCCTGTCGACGGTTCCATCCTGAACTGCTGGTTTTTCTCTCCTACACCTTGTGCTGCACCTGAAATCCCTGAATGTGCCATATTGTTTTAGTTCTGTGCTTTGTATATGCTGTTTCTTCTGCTTGGAATGCCTTTCCTTACTGTGCCTAGCTAGTGAACGCTTGAATTTTTTTTATTTTATTTTTTTTAACTAGCCTATTTTGCACTTGTCTGGCTGTGCCCTCATTGTGAGTTTACATGCCTGCTTATTTCCAGTAGTCTCTGAGCCTCTGAGGCATAGAGAGAGCCTGTTCAGTTTTGTATCTTCATAGCCTGGCACATAGTAGTTGCCCTACAAGTGTATTTTAGGGTTGTCTCCCCCGGCAAACTTCTCCTTTCTTTCTCTCCCCTTGAGGTTAGTCGCATATTACTGAAACAAATATTCCAGAGAGAAGAATACATTGTGAACTTCCAGAATAGGTATCCTGTGTCTTCTGTTGTTTTGGTATTTTTTACTTTGTGTAGAACAACTCTGGAAGGATGTTTTATACAGAGAACGTTTCAGTTAAAAGTTGCAACGTTCTCAGTCCTGGTCCCTAAACCTTCCAGGAACTGCCAGTCTTTATCGTCTCTTAATTTGTTTTGCCAGTTTTCGAGGTTTTACTCTTATTGCCTCCCGCGTCTCCCAAACATCTGTATGTTTCCTTGATGCTTTAACAAGATACTGCTCTCCAAACTCTTACCCGTTTCTAGTGTCCTTTGCATCATTTAAAAAAGAACTGTGTATGTCTGGTGCTCACCTACTCGCTCAGCCCACTGGAATCTGACTCTAGGCTTTGCCACTAACAAAGAGCTTTCCTTCAAAGACCCCTAGCGACTTCCAGCTTGCCAGTCCGACTGTGTCTCCTTAGCTAGAACGTCACCTCTTCTCTCTGCAGTTTTGGACACTGCAGTATATTGACTTGTTCCTTCTTAAAATGTTTTTCCACTCTTAGCTCCTGTGTCGCACGGCACTCTCATAATTTCTTTCTCTGACTATGGCACTGCACTGGAGAAGTGGGGAAGACTTTATATTAGGGGTTACCATATATTTGGGCATATATGGTAATTTCTTTATACATTTATATTTATCCGACAAATGTTTACTGAGTGACAACAAAGTACCAGGCACAGGATATGTAGTGGAGAGCAAACACATATATGGTCTAACGTTCTGAAGTCCAGAGTTTCATCCTTGTGTTTGTTATCTATTTGCTGGGTAACAAATTACCACAAACTTAGTGGTTTAAAGCAACACACATTTATTATCTCACAGTTGTTATGGATCAAGCATCTGAGCATGGCTTAGCTCTGCCCTCTGCTGCAGGGTCTTAAACAAGGCTGCGGGCAGGGTGTTGGCCAGGGCAGGGTCTCATCTGAAGCCTCGACTGGGGAGGGATCTACTTCCAAGCCCATTTTGGTGTGGCAGGATTAATTTCTTGTGGCTTGTTGCACCAAGGGCCTCGGTTCCTTGCTGGTTGTTGGCCAGAGGTCACCCCCGATTTCTTACCATGGGAGCATCTCTATACAGCAGGCTGTTTCATCAGAGCCAGCAAGGAAGAGAATCAGTAGAGAGAGTTGCCCAGCAGGATGGAAGTTACAACCTTATGTAGTGTATTCATGGAAGTGACACCCAATACTTTTATTCTAGTCTAATGGTGAGAAGCAAGTCACAGATCCTACCCACACTCAGGAGGAGATTACATGGGGCAACAATGCCAGGAGGCAGAGATTCACTGGGCATCTTAGAGTCTGCCCATCCCAAGCCTCTTATTGTTCTTCCTCTCAATGTTTCAGCCACTTCAGTTTCTACTGTTCTCAAATTGAACTCACAGCCCTGGCCCATGTGGCTCAGTTGGTCGGGCGGCGTCCCGAGCACCAAAAGGTTGCCAGTTGGGTCCCGGGTCAGGGCACATGTCTGGGTTGCAGGCTCATTTCCTGGTGGTGGTGGGGGCATCGATGTTTTGTTTTCACATCGATACTTATCTCCCTCTCTTCCTTGTTCTCTAAAATCAGTAAAAAATCTTAAAAAAAAAAAATTGAGGCCACTGCTCTCCCCTTGCCCCCCACGCCCGCTTCTCATCCTGTCTCCCCCATCCTGGTCAGCAGCCTCATATCCATCCAGCCATCTCGTCTGGAAACCCAGGTATCGCTTTGTGCACCTCCTGAGAGCTGATGGGCACTAGGCTCTGTGGAGTCTTTCGTATCACTCTCTACCTTCCGCCCATGCTGACATGGCTCTTGTTCAGATCTCACTTTGGCCTGGGCCATTATTTTAGCTTTCAAACTGGCTTCTCGGCCGAGTTTCCCTTCTCATTAATCCTACTTTTCCTAACCACCAGAGTTTCATAAATCCCTCTGTTCACACACCTTCATGAAGCCCAGCTGTCCATGGCTTAAAGGCCTGATTTTCTCAGTATGACATTCAAACCTTTTTACGATCTGCCCTCAGTGTACTTTTCCAAGCGTCTTGCCTACCACTCTGCTCCTGCCCTTCTGCCCCAGGCACACTGGGCCACCTCATGCTTCCTGAGCCCTCCCCTGCCTGTTTGGGCCTCTGCCTTTGGTTCTAGTTACGTCTTCCTGGGTCCCCTTTTCCCTACTTCTTCCTCTAGAAATCCTTTATATACTTCCAAACCTGTCTGAAAACCACTTATATGAAACCTTCCCTGGGTCCCCCGGCCAGCTAATCCATCACTCAGAATGAATCCATCACCAGCCCCATGCACTCTCCTGGCACTCTGCTTGCACCACTGTTACAAGACTGCTGCTCTGTAATCGGTTGTTCAGGTGCCCCTCTCTCTCTCTTAAAATGCTAAAGGCCAGGGTCTGGGTTTTATTTTCCTGTGGACCCAAAGTGCCAGCCTCTAGAGCAGGGCTTCACAGCCTTGGCTGCATGTTAAAATCACCTGGGGAGCTTTGAACATCACTGATGCCTTGGGATCCACCCAAAACGTGAAGATGTGATTGGTCAGAGGCCGCCTGAGGTTGGCACCTTTAAAAGCGCTGTGATTCTAACTTGCAGGGAGCACTGAGAACCACTACTTAATTGAAGAAATCAAGACTGGGAGAATGAAAGGATCAGAAAAAGTTAAACATTTAATGACTGGGAAGGCCTTCAAGCTAGAGCGAAAGCTGAGTTTTTAAAACTCACACACTCACATAAAATTCTCCACACACACATGACTTCAAATAGTGTGTGAAAAGTCAATAAAATGGGGGAATGTGTGCTTTTGTGGCAATGAGGGGAAATAGGAATGCAAGAGATATTAAAAGAGTGGTCTCTCAAAATCCAACACTTTAATTTCTGTGCAGGTGATAAAGCAATAAAATGAAATAATGACCCACCCGGAATAATGAGCCTTTCCCTTTTCATTGAGCACCTAACTGTGTGTTGTGCGCCTCAGAGGTTTGTGTCAAAGGGGCAACTTACTTGCAAATTACTCAGGTTTCCCTCTTTGTTTTCCAGGAATATTTTGAAAACGCTCGCCCTGGGTCAGATGTTGTCCTTGTGCATATGTGGAACAGCCATCACCAGCCAGTATTTGGCAGAAAAATACAAAGTGAACACCCCCATGCTTCAGAGCTTTATCAACTACTGCCTGCTGTTTCTGATTTATACGGTGATGCTGGCGTTTCAGTCAGGTATGCCGAGTGTGGGGATTAACCTTTTCAACAAACTGTCTTCATGAAAAAATGTGGCTTTTAGACATTTAAAAATTAAGACATGAGGCAAAACTAAGAACAGGAAAAAGCATTGCTGTTTTTTTTAAAAGTCATTAGAAAAGCATGACACCTCCGAATTCTGTGAAAGTAGCAATTAGAGATTTATGCATAATCTCTGACATTGTTGATTAAAATAAGCAGCACCAAACTGGACAGAAGTTGTTGGGGGAAAAAAAAGTGTTACTGCTATTACAAATTAGGTTTTATTCCCCCCTCCCCCCCGCAACTGTTGCTGATAAGATTAAGAGACAATATTAAAAACACTGAAGTCAAGAACCCCACTCTCCAAAATCTGTATTTGCAGCTAAGTGGAGAGCACTAAATGGAGCATCAACTGCATGAAGATCGAGTCTATGTTAAGACAGAACCAAAGACAAGGCACTGGCACGGAATTAACTTTAAAAAAATTTTTAAATTAAAAAAATATATATATTTTTTGGACCACCAATGATGGACATTTTTTTCCCCTACAGTTTTTCTTTTCTTTTTGTTGTTGTTTTTAGTTTCTTTATCTTTATTGTTGAAAATATTACAAATGTCCCCTTTTTACCCCCATTGATCCCCTCCACCCCACATCCATCCCACCCCCCAGGCTTTCCCCATACCAGTGTCTGTGTCCATGGGTTATGCTTATAAACATATAAGTTCTTTGATTAATCTCTCCCCACCCATGTCCCCCTCCCCACCTTCCCTCTGAGATCCCTCAGTCTGTTCTATGCTTCTATGTCTCTGGATCCACTTTGTTCATCAGTTTATTTTTTTTATTATATTCCACATATAAGTGAAATCCTGTGGTACTTGTCTTTCTCTGACTGGCTTATTTCACTTAGCATAATACTTTCTAGTTCCCTCCATGCTGAGCCAAAGGATAAAAGATCCTTTTTTATAGCTGCATAGTATTCCATGTGTGTAAATGTGCCACAGCTATTTTATCCACTCACCTACTGATGGACACTTGGGCTGTTTCTAGATTTTAGCTATTGTAAATTGTGCTGCTATGAGCATAGGGGTGCACAAGTTTTTTGTGATTGGTGTTTCAGGTTCCTNTATGAACCTAGGGGTGCCTAAGTTCTTTGTGATTGGTGTTTGGGGTTCCTTAGGATACATCCCTAGAAGTGGGATCAGTGGGTCAAATGGCAGGTCAATTTTTAATCTTTTGAGGAAACTCCATACTGTTTTCCATAGTGGCTGCACCAGTCTGCATTCCCACCAGCAGTGAACTAGGTTCCCCTTTCTCCACACCCTCGCCAGCACTTGTAGTTTGTTCACTTGTTGATGGTGGACATTCTGGCAGGTGTGAAGTGATACCTCATTGTGGTTTTAGTTTGCATCTCTCTGATGATTAGTGATGCTGAGCATTTTTTCATATGTCTCTTAGCCATTTGTGTGTTCTCTTTGGAGAAGTGTCTGTTTAGGTCCTTTGCCCATTTTTTAATTGGATTGTCTGTCTTCCTTTTGTTAAGTTGTATGAGTTCCTTATATATTTTGGATATTAACCCTTTATCAGATGTATCATTGGCAAATATGTTCTCCCATACAGTGGGCTCCCTTTTCATTTTGTTGATGGTTTCTTTTGCTATGCAGAAGATTTTATTTTGATGCAGTCCCATTTGTTTATTTTCTCCTTAGTTTTTCTTGCCCTAGGAGATGTATCAGCAAACATATTCCTACAAGAGATGTTTGAGATTTAGGTGTCTATGTTTTCCTCTAGGATATTTATGGTTTCATGTCTTACATTTAAGCCTTTTGTCCATTTTGAATTTACTTTTGTGTCTGGTGTCAGTTGGTGGTCTAGTTTCATTTTTTTGCATGTATCTGTCCAATTTTCCCAAAACCATTTATTGAAGAGACTGTCTTTGCTCCATTGNACTCCTTTGTATGTTCTTGTCTCCTTTGTCAAATATTAATTGACCATAATGGCATGGATCAANGTTTCATTGGTCTGTATGCCTGTACTATGCTGTTTTTATTATTATGACCTTGTAGTATAGTTTGATATCAGGTAGCATGATTCCTCTAACTTTGTTCTTCTTTCTCAAGATTACTTAGGTTATTCAGGGTCTTTTGTCATTCCATATATGTTTTTGGAATATTTATTATAGATTCATGAGATATTCCATTAGTATTTTAATAGGAATTGGGTTGAATCTACAGATTGCTTTGGATAGTATAGACATTTTAATGATGTTAATTCTTCCAATCCATGAACATGGTATATTTTTCCATTTGTTTATATCTTCCTCTATTTCTTTTTTCAGTGTCCTGTAGTTTTCAGAGTAAAGGTCTTTTACATCTTTGGTTAAGTTTATTCCTAGGTATCTTATATTTTTAGTTGCAATGGTATATAGGATTTTTTTTTTTTAGTTTCTCTTTCTGAGAGTTCATTATTGCTGTATAAAAATGCCATCGATTTCTGGGTGTTAATTTTGTATCCTGCTACCTTGCTGAATTCATTTATTAAATCTAGTAGTTTTTTGGTGGAGCATTTAGGATTCTCTATGTACAATATCATGTCACCTGAAAATAATGACAGTTTTGTTTCCTCCTTTCCAATTTGGATGCCTTTTATGTTTTCTTCTTGTCTGATGGCTATGGCTAGGACTTCCAGTACTATGTTGAATAAGAGTGGTGAAAGTGGACACCCCTGTCTTGTTCCTGTTCTTAGGGGAAATGGTTTTAGTTTTTGCCCATTGAGTATGATGTTGGCTGTAGGTTTTTCATATATGGCCTTTATTGTGTTGAGGTATGATCCCTCTATTCCCACTTTGCTGAGAGTTTTTATCAAAAATGGGTGTTGGGATTTTATTGAATGCTTTTTCTGCTTCTATTGATATGATCATGAGATTTTTGTCTTTCAATTTGTTTATGTGATGTATCACGTTTATTGATTTGCGAATATTGTACCAGCCTTGCATCCCTGGAATAAATCTCATTTGGTCATGGTGTATGATCTTTTTAATATATTGCTGGATCCGATTTGCTAATATTTTGTTGAGGATTTTAGCATGTATGTTCATCAGGGATATTGACCTGTAATTCTCTTTCTTTGTAGTGTCTTTACCTGGTTTTGGAATTAGGCTAATGCTGGCCTTGTAAAAAGAGTTTGAAAGTGTTCCTTCCTCTTGGATTTTTTGAAATAGTTTGAGGAGGGTAGGTGTTAATTCTTCTTTGAATGTTTGGTAAAACACCCCTGTGAAGCCATCTGGGCCAGGGCTTTTGTGTGCCGGGAGCCCCTTGATTACTGCTTCAACTTCATCAGCAGTTATCGGCCTATTTAGATTTTCTGACTCTTCCTGATTGAGTTTTGGAAGGTTGTATTTTTCTAGGAATTTATCTATTTCATCCAGGTTGTCCAGTTTGGTGGCATATAGTTGTTCATAGTATTTTCTTACAATCCTTTGTATTTCTGTTGGGTCAGTTGCTATTTCACCTCTTTCGTTTCTGATTTTGTTTATTTGGGTCCTCTCTTTGTTTCTTGATGAGTCTGGCTAAAGGTTCATTAATCTTGTTTATCCTTTCAAAGAACCAGCTCTTGGTTTCAGTGATCTTTTGTTTTGTTATTTTAGTCTCTATGTCATTTATTTCTGCTCTGATCTTTAGTATTTCTTTCCTTCTACTTACTCTGGGCTTTTCTTGTTCTCTTTCTAAGTTTTTAAGTTGTAGGGTTAGAGAGTCTGTTAGAAGTTTTTCTTGTTTTTTAGGTAGCCTTGTTGTGCTATGAACTTCTCTCTCAGGACTGCTTTCATTGTGTCCCATAGATTTGGAGTTGTTTTGTGTTCATTTTCATTTGTTTCCAGGAAGTTTTT